CTTTCATGCTTTGGTAAGAGCAAATAGGGGGAAAAAGAGATTGGATACTCTTATGGATGTCAATGGAAATTGCCAAAAAGGAGAAGCTTCTAAAGGTTCGGTTGCTGAAGCTTATTTCATTGATTTGTTTACCTCCTCAAATCCTAGTAATTTCCTTGATCTTTTTCAAGATTTTATTGCAAAAGTCACTAATGAGATGAATAATGAGCTTATTAAGGAAGTATCAAAAGAAGAAGTTAGGGAAGCTGTCTTTGCGATTAGAGCTGCAAGTGCCCCGGGACCAGATGGGTTCACTAGTTTCTTCTTTCAAAAGTACTGGTTCATCATCGGGGATCAAGTTACAAAAAAGGTCCAAAATTTCTTCATATCAGGTTCCTTCCCTAGTGAATGGAATTACACCCATCTGTGTTTGCTACCAAAGACCAAAAATCCTTCCCGGATGACCGATCTAAGACCAATCAGTTTGTGTTCTGTCCTATATAAGATCGTCTCTAAGGTGTGATAAAGAGGATTCAACCTCTGCTGTCTAAGATTATCTCACCCAATCAATCTGCCTTTGTGGCTGAGCGTCTTATATCCGACAACATTCTCATTGCACACGAGGCAGTTCATGCTTTAAGGACTCATCCGACTATTTCAAAGGATTACATGGCTGTTAAGACGGACATGTCTAAGGCGTATGACAGGGTTGAATGGAATTATCTAAGAGCTTTATTGTCTACTATGAGGTTTCATCAGAAGTGGATTCGGTGGATAATGCATTGTGTCTCAACTGTCTCCTTCTCGGTTCTGATTAATGACTAACCATTTGGGTTGATTACTCCCCAAAGAGGCCTTAGACAAGGTGACCCGCTCTCACCGTTCCTTTTCGTCTTGTGTACTGAAGGTTTGACACACTTGTTGAATAAAGCTGAAAGTTCTGGAGCTTTAAATGGGATTCAATTTGCGGATAATGGCCCTTCCATTCATCACCTACTTTTTGTAGATGATAGTTTGTTTATGTTCAAAGCTCAGGCTGATCAATGTGAAGTGGTGAAAAAGATTCTCAATGTTTATGAAGAAGCGACAGGGCAAAAAATTAATCTGGTTAAGTCTTCTATAACGTTTGGAGATAAAGTTGAAGAAAACCTTAAAGCTGCTATTAAAGCTCAGTTGGGTATTGAAGCTGAAGGAGGTGCAGGGACTTACCTTGGGTTGCCTGAGTGTTTTAGTGGGTCAAAAATTCAACTTTTGGATTATATCAAGGATAGATTGAAGGAGAGATTATCAGGCTGGTTTGCAAGATCTCTTTCCCTAGGTGGTAAAGAAGTACTTCTGAAGGCTGTGGCATTGGCGATGCCGGTTTATGCAATGTCTTGCTTTAAACTGACAAAGACCACTGCATCGAACCTAACTAGTGCAATGTCAGATTTTTGGTGGAACTCCTTTGAACACAAGAAGAAAATTTATTGGGTTAGTTGGGAGAAGATGTGTTTATCTAAAGCCAATGGGGGGTTAGGTTTTAGGGATATTGAGTGTTTCAATCAGGCTCTACTCGCCAAACAAGCGTGGAGACTGATCCAAGAGCCAAAGTGTCTATTTGCCAAGTTCTTTAAAAGCAAATATTTCGAAAATGGTCAGTTTTTGGAATCCTCTGTTGGAGCTAGACCATCTTATGCATGGAGAAGCATCTTACATGGTAGAGATTTACTGACTAAAGGTTTGGTAAAAAAGGTTGGTAATGGCAAGTCTTTAAGAGTTTGGATGGATCCTTGGATTTATGAGGAAGGCTGGAGAGCTCCTTATAGGAAACAAACTTTTTTCAACCCTGATCTTAGGGTGAAAGATTTGATTCATAGACCAACTAGAGGTTGGAATCTGGACTGTTTGAATGAGCTGTGTTTTCCCAATGATGTCAGGTTGATTTTGAAGAAAAAACTAGTGATTAGAACAAACGATTTCTGGTGCTGGGATCATAACAAAAGCGGAGACTACACAGTCAAATCGGGTTTTTGGTTAGCTTGTAGGCTGAATAAACCGGAACTGTTGCAAGAGGCTTCTCAACAACCGTCAATCAATGGGCTGAAGGAGCAGATTTGGTCAATACACACAGTCCCAAAAATCAAAGCGTTTTTATGGAGAGCTTCTAGTAATGCTCTTCCAGTTACAGATTTATTGGCCAAAAGAGGGGTCATTCTGGACTCTCGCTGTCAGGTTTGTGGTTTAGAAGGAGAATCTATTAACCACGTTTTGTTCACTTGTTCTATTGCTAGACAAGTGTGGGCTCTCTCTAACTTCCCCTCTCCTCCTGAGGGTTTTGATGCCTTTTCGCTGTTCTCGAACCTGCATTATTTGTATAAGTCCAGACTTGATTGTAGAATTCCTATGGAGCTTCGCAGAATTTTTCCTTGGGTTCTTTGGAGGTTATGGAAGAACAGGAACTTATTTTTTATGAAGGAAAGCTCTTCTCGGCCTTTGAAACTGTTAAAAAAATTAGAGAAGACGCTGAATTTTGGTGTTTGACTCAAACTGTGAAGGATGAAGTTGAAGAGGCTGAAACAAGGGAAGATATTGTCCAGTCCTCTAAATGGAAACCGCCGGAGATAAATTGGCTCAAGTGCAACATTGGTGTGTTTTGGGATAAAAAGAAACGTGTTGGGGGCTGTGCATGGGTTTTGAGGAACAACCAAGGGGTTTCATTGTTACATAGCAGAAGAGGTTTCTCAAACATTATTTCTAAGGATCAGCTGAATCTTCAAGCTCTTTTGTGGGCAATGGAAAGTATGCACAGCCATAATGTCAGTAAGGTTAATTTTAGCACATATATTGTGGACTTGGTAAAGGTGATGCAAAGACCAAAAGCTTGGCCATCCTTTTATTATCATTATACGGAAATGGCTAGACTCCTAAAAAAGATCAGGGAGTGGAGACTAACTTTTGAGCATCCGTCCGCCAACATTGGGGCTTTTCTCGTTGCTCAAAGTGCTACAAGAGAGTTTTTTACTCAATCTTATGTTGCAGTTGGTTACCCTTTTTGACTGCAGGAACTCAAAGAGACTGAGAAAAATCTTTCCACCGCATAATCTTGGCTTGGATGTTGGTATAGTTGTAGACTTTTGTTAGTCTCTTTTTTGGACAGTTAGGGTGCATACACTTTTACTAACTGTTTGGCATGTATGCCTGTACATGGCCTTTCTTTTGTATGTGGTTACTTTCTTTGCAATATATTATTCAGATGACAAAAAAAAAAAGTGGAACGATCATTAAGTAATTTAGTTAATTACTGCAGTGACTCTAGACTGATTTTTATTTATTTATCATTAATATAGCGGTTTGGATTGAAAATACCTTACAGTAAAAAACAAATAAATTAAAATTAATCTTAAAAGAATACATAAATATAATTATATCATATAAATATATAAAACTATATTCATGCTTATATCAAGTTATTATATTGATCTGTGGCACTAAATAAAAGAAACAAATTAAATGTCAACACAGTTATTTTTATAACTCCAAGTTGAATTGAAAATGTAAAACGACATTCTTTTTTAATCAGAGAATTAACTTTAGAACGACACTTTTTGTGAAACGGAGGGAGCAATAGTTATTCATGTGATAGAGGTGTTTCAAACAAAAGTTATGAAATTTTTGATAAACAATTTTATATATAAATTATGAAATTTTAGTATTACGTACATGAGCATGTCTGAGACATGCTAATGAAACCCACTAGCTGAAGCTGTTGGAGTTTGTTATTAGAAAGAGAGTCTCGTCTTCTAGTTCTACATTTATGAATTATCTCTGTTATTTTCTTATTCTTCTAGTAATCTTTTTACTTTCGTCGTTGTAACCTACACCGAGCTCAAATGGGATCAGCTTATATTGGAATCAGTCTTCTCTGCCACTCACTCACGTTATAAACTCTTCTATGCCAGTCACGTTTATAAACTTTAATTATAACTTGAACATCCAAGAGTTTATGGATGGACTAAACAATTTTTATATTCTTAGAGGCCACCATGGCCTTGTTATTGTTTCATTAATCGGCGGAACATTTCTAGCCGAAAAACAGTGTTTTCACACCCGATGTGAATCTTCCGGCCCGACCGGTTAATCCGCGACCCGAACACTTTTTCGGTTTGGGTTTAATGTTTATATCATGCAATTTCAAAACTGGAAAAACCCACAAAATCCGCGATTGACCCTCAACCCGGTGAACCGGTTGAACGGGCCGGATATCGGTTCAAAAAATTATTTGATTTTGAAATAAAATAAAGAGTTTTAAACTTTTAGTTTATTCACTATTTACTAAATAAATGAATGTGAGATTATTATTTTCCTCCTCAATTAATAAAAAAAAAGATGAGAATTCAAGATATCCATTGCTGTCACAAAATCTACCAAGTCAAGTTTTGTGATTTGTTTTACTCCCTCCGTTTCATAAAGAGTGTCGTTTTAAGGTTTTATTTTTGTTTCACAAAGAGTGTCGTTTTAGATTTTCAATGCAAAATTTAATGATTTTTTATGTTTTATGACCATTAGTATTCTGTAAATTGTTTTACTATTGGGCACATTATGTTTAGGTATATAGTTAATGATGTTTTTGTTTAGAAAAAACAAAAAAATTTAATGTTTTCTTAATCTGTGTGCAAAACTCTAAAATGACACTTTTTGTGAAACAGAGTGAGTAATTTTTAGACATAAATACGTTTTAATGATTTGGTTTACTTTTTTGTTGGAACAATTTATTAAGTCAACCAGAAAAATAATCTCTAACAGTCTTGGCTTCTTCAACTAACTTTCAAATTCCAACGTACGAGGTCTGGTCTTATCTACAGTATGAATATGTATATATATTAAATTCGTGATTAATCGTCATTAATTTCAGATTACAGTGCCAACTCTAACATTAGTCAATATAATTAATGTAATTAAGAGACACAAAGAGCCTAACCTGACAAGACCTCATTCATTTTTAAAAAATCTTTCAAGCGGGTGATACGTAGAAGGTAGAATCAAGGCTTGTAACAGCTGGATTATCTTGGTTGACCGTAATTATTGACTTAAAATGTTAAATTTTCCGACCTGTGGGCAAGCAAAGATTCTATTTTACTCTCCTTTTATCATTTTAGATTTTCTCACATGTAAAAATTGTTTAGCTATACCATTTGTTTAAATATGTTCGAGTACAACATACCATTATTAGAAAGATGCCAAACTAAGTGATATAAATTAGATATTGACAAACTATTATATAGGGTAGTCTGTATTTTCCACTACGCTAAAAATTAGGATTGATTTTTTTTTTTTTTTTGAAAAAACCCCTAATTGGATATAGAAACCAAGAGTTTTAGTACTTGGTGAAAAAGTACATGCGAGCAATTTATCTGGCCTTTCTGGACTTCATAGAAACTTATTCCGCTTCAGTAACCACATAGCCTTTCTCAACCGGTCTTTCCACAACAACTCCATCTGATTCTTAGGTTATTACTCTCTTTTTCATAACTTCCATGAACTTCTCCCCTCTCAAAAACTTGTCTGTTCCTCTTCAGAACTTGTCTGTTGTATTTAAAACCTTTTTGGTTTCTTTGTTTATGTGAGAATCTTAGATGTTATTTAAGTTTGATTTGGTTACATTGTCTGACTTGTAAATGGTTTTGGTTGCATTAGAGAATCTTGGTTTCAATTTGAGATACAAAACCAATTACAACCGGAAAAAAAACGAAATTATTATTTTGCCAACAAGTATATTTAATAGTCGTTAAATCAGTCATAAAATAGTCGGCAAATAGTCGCAAAATAGTCATCATAACTACACCAAACAAACTTCTATTCATCCGGTTTAATCGTAAACTAGTAGTAACATTTAATGACTATGTTACGTATATAATTACGACTATATTTACGACTATATGTTAAGCGTACTAGTCGTAACGTAATCATTAATTAACGTCTATCGATTTACGACTATAATTTTTAATTGTAATGTAAACCACCATTTAACGACTACTTGTGCAGTCGGAAAATCCATGTTTTCTTGTAGTAACTAACTTGTAAACTAATATGGGATTTAATTTGGTTACATTAGTGAAATAACCAAATAACTTTCTATAATTTTCTTATCAACTGATCATCCTTACTTTTACAAAAAAAATTACAAAAGCTACAAGAAAATATTGGAAAAAAAATTAATAGTATTCATATTCTTATTCTTGTTCATTATAATCTAATATTCGATAATTAATTACTTCTTTGAAGCTAATCATCAAAGATATTCAAAGGCAGTACCCATTAGTAAAATCCATCATAGTGAGTGAACTAAGCTCGAAGTCGTCTTCAAGAACCCAAAAGGTATCGAACAGATTTGGAACCGTAGCTGCAACTTCTACGTCAGTTGGTGTTGCGTGGACTGGTTTGGATTTTGGTTTGAGTTTGGATTCGTCAACTAAAGTGTCGAACCTGACAGTTGAAATTTTTTCACCGGAGATCTCTTGATGAGAGGAGGACGTTGTGGTTATAAGGGCCATAGACGGTGGAGACTCTGCGCCGCAAGCAGCTTTGACGGCAGTTGAATGATCTCCGAGACCAAGTTTCTTGCTGAGATGTGTGTTCCAATAATTCTTTACTTGGTTGTCTGTTCTTCCAGGAACTCTTTTTGCTATCAACGACCATCTAAATATTAAAAAAAAAATTACGATATTAGATTAATCTGCAATAATAATAAATAAATATTGTATATCTATTCGAATGTTTAATAAATATGTGGCAAAACTTTTGAAACAAGAAAGCTTGTAAAACGGAGTTAATGCTTATGCATGGACCTATATAGAGCAAGCATGTGTGTAATACATGTAGCCAGATTATATATGTTGTAGATGTTATATGAGCCATGTGTGTATATGCAGATGATCCATAAATGAATACAATTATGAGTCATTGTAAAGTTCGAAAAAGCATATTTTTTGAATAAAAACCTAGCTATACAAATTAATGGCCGAAAAAACAAAGGAGAGATCTAATATTTACGATCCCTTTTTTACTACTACTATTTTTGAATAACCATTATATGCTTGTGGACGTTTGTAAATAGATTAATAAAATAAACTTATATAATGTAACCTAATTGATATGTATATGAATGAATATAATACATGAGTTAAATATAAGTGATATATACATACACAATTAAACAATTTAGAGAGAGAATACCGTGAACTAAGGATCCAACAACAAAACATATATTATACAAATATAAATCATGAATTAGATATATGTGATATATAGCTAGCAAGCTGTACACATTTAAACAATTTAGAGATTCACGTGAATTCAGCACCGAACAACAAAACACATGATCTTACATATATAATATTATTAGAATTGTATAAAAAATTTAAGCAAGATAATCTCTGAATATATGGGAAAAAAAAACAACCTGTTGCCGAGGAGCTTGTGGAGTCTGATGATGAGATCTTCTTCTTGGTCAGTGAAATTGCCTCTGTTAACATTAGGGCTTAAGTAGTTCATCCATCTCAACCTACAGCTTTTCCCACATCTCTTGAGCCCTAATTATCATCAAAAGTTTCAATCTTTAGTACTAATTTTTATTGCTTATAACAAGAACAAGAGAAGTGAGAGAGCAAGAGCAAGTATACCAAAAGAAATAAGAGAGTAAAATATAGAGAGAGAATAAAGACCAGTTTTCTTGGCGATGCGGTTCCAGTGGCCTTGGCCATGAGTTCGGACATAATCCATGAGGATCTTGTCTTCTTCCACTGTCCATAAACCTTTCTTGTATTCATGTTCTTTTCCATCTCTTGTCATTCTCATCCTTCTTCACTTTTCTTGATCCCGAGGAGAGAGAGAGAGAGAGAGAGAGAGAGAGAGAGAGAGAGAGAGAGAGAGAGAGAGAGAGAGAGAGAGATATTGAAAGTGGCTGAGTCGGTGATGCATGTTTAGTCGAGCCCGACTCTCTATATATATTCCATGTGACGTATATATATTGTGTTTTGTATACATGTAAATGTGTGTACATATTACATATACGTAAGGACATGTTTGTTTTGTTTGCTGTTTTCTCTCCAAAAATCCGTATATGGTAAAGTCAATCCCAACATTCTTTTACCAATAAGTCAACCTTACGAAATTGATTTAACCATTTAAACGGGTGTAGATATATATAACATGTTATTCTTACAATATATATGCGAAAATTTCGTAAACTAATAATAAAGTATACTATTAGTTAGTTGTGGCAAAGTAAAAATATGTTTTTATCAAAAACGGAGGTAAATGATTTGTTTTTTTTTTCAAAGTGATTAGATAGATGGGGTTAGTAGGCAAACTATGTAAAGAATTGGAAGGGCTTGTTGACTCTCTATGTTGTTGGTTTTGGTTAAATAAGACTAAAAAAATGTGATCCGAATCCATAAGGTTACAATAAACTCAATATTCCTCAACTAATTATAGTTGAAAACGGTCTGCTAAGTTTCTATCTAGATTTTCTTATAAAAAAGATTCGGAAACGCTTTTGCCTAAAAATCTAAAATTTATTTGAGAGCAAAAACGTCTTCCTACGTAAAATTGTGGTGTGTTAACACCCGTTAGACTTAGAAAACAAAATGATTTATTTCATATTCCGAGTTTCAAATTTCTTGCTCATTATAATTACCCAAAAAATGAGAAATTAAATTAAATTTGTATTATATTTTTCTGAAAAACTAATTATATAAATAATTTTTTTTTTTTACATATGTTATACTCAAGCCTCACATTTTTTCATTTTAAATATATATTGTTAGTAAATACTAAATAGGTTCTGAAAGAAAAATCTGGGATTTATTTATAACCAAATTTATCCATATCTAATAAAGTATGCATGTAAAAACTGTAACAAGATATGTCTAGGTAGACATGTGTATATCCCAACTAACAAGTTAAGTAGAAGTGACAATTGAAAAAAAAAGTAAGGTAATTACTATTAGACACAATAATGTTCCCTTGGGATAGACAGATAGCATTTTTAACTTTTTATATTAATAACAAACATAGAAGATCCTCTGGCTCATCCAGCTAAAGCCATCTATAATGGAGCAACTGATCTTAAAATTATTATAATAATATTATATATATATATATATATATAATGATATTATATGAGGAGGTAAGAGAGACAGAGAGAAATGCTCAAGATCAGCTCAAGATCAGATCCAGCTCAAGATGAGATTTTGCTCAAATGCTCTACTGTTGGAGTTTTTTCTATTTTTTTTATTACTCAAGATCACTCCAGCAGTTGTGCCATTGCAGATGGCCTAAGCTTTATACAGTAAAACCTCTATAAATTAATACTCTATAAATTAATAATTTCTCTAAATTAATAAATTCTTCCAGTCCCGAGTTGGGACCAGTGTAAAATATGACATAAATCGATAAATTAATAAGATAATAATTATTTTGAAAATCTCATGTAAACATATGGTCCCATCTATATCATAAATTAATAATTGTATAAACTTATCAATATATATATAACTTAATATATATATATATATAGGATATAAACTTATATATATCATATATGAATTACTATAATATATATTCAAAATATTATATATAAATAGTTTAATGAAATATGAGTATTGTTCGGAAAAAAGTTTGTGTTGTTTTATAAACTCAATAATTGCTTCTCTACTTATAATTAGTTTATATAAGATATTCCTTAATTATAAAGGAAAAAAATTATTTTTAGATAGAAATTTTTTAATAAATTACAAAATTTGTAAAATCTCTCTATAAATTAATAATTATTAATTTATCGATAAATTAATACCTCTCTAAATTAATAAAATTTCGTGGTCCCAACATTATTAATTTATGGAGGTTTTACTATATGTCATGTGTGTAGATCATATGAGTATTAGTTTTTGGATCGGATCCCAATGGAGAGTGAATTAATTTGAATTCCATATATATAGTATGAATCAACTATTATCCATTCGAGCAATTGGAGATAGGTGATATGATAAAGGACTTCAAACTTGGTTCGCTTTGAGAAGCTGACTTCTTCTAAAAATCTCGGTTCTAATGTTTTAAATTTTTTCAAACCACCGTTGTACTTGTAAAAACGATATGTTTTTTTTTTTAATTTAATTTAACATTACATTAAAAAAAAATAGACAACTAAAAAAAGAGGTAATACATATATAGTCTGTATATAATAGTTTAGTTCACGAAATAGGAAAATACAACTTTAACAAAAAAAAAAAAAAGAAGTATAACATGCAAAATTTGGTATAAGAATAGTTACTATTCTCTTCAGCTGAATTTTTGCAAACAATGTTATCAGTTATAACTAAACTATAGAATTAAACATCTTTGATACAAAACATAAGTATCTGTGATACCTAACTCTAGACAGTAGTGTAGTATGATAATCACTACACTAAATATCTTATGTCGTGCATATGAATTATGTACGTTATAGATTATATATAGCTTCCACTTGATTTAGCCTACTTTATTAATTTTTATGGATAATTAATGATATAGGACCTATAGACCTTTTAATTCCAAACCTTATTTTCAGAACAACCCAACTAGTTGATGTTGATCATCTTATCTATTAACTACACTAACATTCATACATTGTATCGGTAAAGCCCTAGAGACTAAAATAAGCTATGCAATAATTGTCTTCATTCTCTACTTGTAGATTTTAACCTTGCATGGAATAAATGCGAGTTTTAATTTAAACTTTTTATCAGTGCGAATCTTTGAATTATTTAAATTTTAATAGATTTTACTATACACGTGTTCATTATCTTTCCATAATAGTAAATATTTTTTCACACTTTTCACTATAATTTTTCTTATTTTTTTCTATGATTCATTCGTCGTCTCCCAACATCTACTATCTTTTCACCTTATATTGACTCACATATAATATACTCACCTTATGAATTAGTTCTCAAGATAGATCGTATATATTTTCTCATTAATATCTTTCAATAATCAATTTTTTTTATAAGTTGCATGATCTCTTTATTAAAGTGAACATTAGAAAATATTGGGAGATATTTGTCATAATGATTCTTTGATCATGTTTGGTGCATGTAAAATTGTTTTATAGACAAAAAATCTCATATATAGTCTCCTTCTTATTCACAAACGTCGGATTTCAACATCAAATTTTTCGCTTTATCTTAACCGTTTGAAAAATACAAAAAACAAATTAACACATATAATTTGAAGTATATTATGATTTTATATAGTATTCTTAATGTTGATTTTTGTAAAATTCGTAACTTACAAACTCAAATAAATCATTATAATTTTAAAATATTTTTTTTAATTCTTAATTTTTACTTCTAATTAAAAACTCTTCAATATACCATTACTATTCTAATTTCCAAATAGCATTCACAAATATCATTATTACACAGTTTCCTATTCGATTGAAATATTTTATTTTTATTTGTAATGTTTAGAATAGTTTTTGTTTTATTTCAAATCCTTAAATTTTTTATCTATGTTAAAATTTCATAAACACTGATTAATATTTAGTTTTTATTTTTTAGGTATTCATTTGATTTTTTTAAAACCACCACTTTTTAATTAGAAAACACTGATAATATAGAAAATTTTATTAATGTAACTATTTATATTATATTAAAATTATAAATAATAATATATACTCAAAATTTTATTAATTTAACTATTTATATTATATTATGACTATAAATAATAATATGTACTCAGTCGTTCTTATTTCTAATCAGAATCATGAATTGATATTTTAACATGAAAAGTATTTTTTTTTTAATTTTAAATGTGTATTTTTCAGAAATAAATTAATTTATTTTCAGTAAAAACCTTTAAATTTAGTATAGTTTAAGTTTTATTTTTTTATTCTACTATATAATTGTAACTCTTAAAAATGATTGTTCTATCATTAAAATATATGATAAACCTTATTTTTATATCTCTAGCCATTTAGGAATATTCTCATTATATGTTAAGATATAGTTATTTAATTTTATATTTATCCAATCGCTATTCAAAAATTTCATATTTTGTGTTATAATTTTTTTTTTTTGTTTTTTTATTATCTAATTTATTTTTTGTAAATTATTCTTTTTGTTTAATGAAATATAATAATATAAATTATAAAATGTGTGAATTAATTATAGTTTTAATATTTTTTGTTTTAAAATAAAATATGTGGAGCCCACACAAAATTAAAATAAGATGGCTTGGATGATGATGTGGACACTCTAGATGGAGAGACAATTCTCTCATTATATGTATAGATTAAGATATTTTATTTACCATGTTACTCATCAGTTGTTAGTATTGTCAATTGTGCACAATAATACTTATAGTGTAACAAGTTGTTATTTAATTATGTGTTACAGTTACTTTCAAACATAAATGGAATAATTTACTAGCTTTTTTTTTTTTTTTTTTTTTGTGCAAAATGATCTCTTCATTAACTTAGAACCTCAAAAGAGGAATGTTCATACAACTTAAAAGTGAAACAATACATGAAAGATAAAGATAGAGACTCAATGAGTTTTCCAAGGAGATGCGCAACTTCAAAAAGCTTGCAATGGTTGAAAGGTCTTTTGATGTCTTGAAGGATTCAAGCTTGAAGACGAGCTTCGAGAAATCCCCGACCAACAAGTGGTCATAAATAGCTCGCGCGAATAACGCATAAGAGCTTTTGTTAAATTGCTCCACGGAGGAGGCTAAGGTTCGAGACGGTTTCAAAATGCCGGTAAAGGTTTGCGGGAATATTTTCTCCATGGTGGAGTAGGTTTGCAAGATTCGCCAAAAGTAATCACAAGACCAAAACACAGATAATATTGTGAGACTAGAATGTAGTCCTTGTCCATTCAAGCCTAAGCAATAAGAATCTGATTTAAGAGAACTTGAGAAATTGTTAGATTGAACATACGGAGGCGGTTTCTCCAAAATGGTTCGAGAGTGTTGAGATGCATCGCCCAATAAACTTGAGGCTAGATAATTAAGCTTGAACTTGGACAGTTTACCATTCG